TTTAATTACGTTTTTGTGGCCCAATTTATTTTAATATTTAATTATATTATATTAAAAAATTATATATAAATACTGAAATTATTATATTTAATTATATTAAACAAAATACTGATATTTAAATTTAATTAAATTTGTTTATTTCTATAAATATTATATTAAAAATATATAAATTAAGTTTTTAAAATTAAATGTTAATATTTAACAAATAAATAATTAATGAATGGTGTCGCTGCCCATAGCGACACATATTTTTCTATTTTTTACGTTTTTATTTTATTTACTTATTTTTTTCAGTTTTTTTTTTAAATTTAACATAATATAATATAATTTTATTTTAATTATTCAGTTTGTTTACTTTGAATTAAAAATACAAAAATGAATAATTATAAATAAAACGTGATTATTTTGCAATAAATAAATAAATAAATAATGCAAGGCGCTATGGCCCATAGCGACACAGTGTTGCTATGGCCCATAACATCTCTCTTAAAAAATACGTAAAATTTATTTTAAAATTACTTTTTTTAAAAACTTAATTTTATTTTTATAAATATATAATAAATAACTCAGTTTATTATTTTTATTTTACATTTCTATTATTTTCGTTTTTCCTTTTTTTTTCTTAGAGGGTGTCGCTATGGGCTACATCATTTTTGTTAGTCCATCAACTGTGTTGGCCCAGCCTATAGCTACATTGATGTGGCTCATTCTAGCCTATCCTAGACAAAAAAAAAATTGCCACGTGTCATGGATGTCGCTATGGGTCATAGCGACACTGTTATAAATGACCCCAAAGGCGTAATTAGTTACAAAACAGCCCCAATTACATAATAAACTTTTAAAAGGACCCTACTTTGTTCAAAAAGCCCAAAGATTTTTTAAGAAAAAAGCCACATATTGTTTTAAGGTGGGTTTCGTAGTAAATAGGAGTAAGTATTTTCCCCGTTAAATATAATTTGTTTTTCGCAAGAATAATCTGTTTTTTCTTCCTATTCTTTTTCCTTTTTCAATCATATTTTTGTTCACACTCAAGACATTCACTCATTTATAACAAATTATATATATTCATAAGTATTATATTTGAATACATAAATTTTATTTAAAATTTATATAAATAAATATTTTTAAGCATATAAATTATATTTTATATTTAAGATAATAATTTATATAAAAATATTTTTAATTAATAATTATTTATTTTATAAATGTTAAATTTTAATTTTAAATAAAAATTAAATTAAATTAGAAGATAAGAAAATTTCTATAAATATTTTAATTGAGAAAAAATTTCTAAAAATATTCTCAGAATAATTGTTTGCGCATAATATAGGAGTTTGATTTTGTAACTTTTTGATTAATAAAGTAACTTTATGCAGTTAGGAAGAAACCCCAAAGAGTCATAATTAACTTTAAGGCAAATGTAAACGTCCAGTTAAGAATCAGGTTTCAATCTGCCAAGGGCAGTTTCCTGAACATCAATTTTGTTTCCTCTTAACCTATCAAAAGACCAAAATGTGCAATAATTTAGGAGCCACGTTCCATTTCTCGCCACCTTCGTATTTTTTGTTTTTTCATAATATCATGATTAGGATACTAGTAATTTACATAATATGAATGAAAGTGACCTAACCCAGTTCACGGTGCTGCACTTCATCTTTTTTCTTGTGGACAAAAATTGAAATTGAAATTCTCAACTTCTTTTTCAGTGCATATGCAATTATTCTCTGCGACCCCTTCGCTTTTTACTTCTTTTCCACCTCTCAGTTGATGTTCCCAATCTCCTTGTCTCTTTGAATATTTCCTTGAATGGTATTTTGTTGCTTCACGCTATGGCTTCTTGGTGGGATTTAAGACCCTTCTTTCGTTTTCAGTCTATTAGGACCCGCGTTCAGGTCAGCGTTTTATACTTCTATTTCAACTTTGTTCTTCTTCCCTGTCATGGACACTCTGATTCTGTTGTATGTTTAATGGTGTAGTTCTCTGGACCCTGCTTTGGAACTCTATAAATTAAGCTTTTGAAGTTGTATTCGTGGTAATGTAGTTGACATGACGAAAAAAAATTGTGATTTTGTTATAAATTGATGGATGGACGGATCTGTGTGACTATCGATGTTTTGAACCATTTAATTGATGTCCATGATAAAGGTAATTCATTTTATTCATATTTGTGAAGCTTGTATCCTCCCTTCTCTTGATCAGAATTCAGAATTCAGAAATCAAGTTCAATGCACACATTCTTCTTGTTCTTTGCTTTCATGTTTAGTTGGTGACATGATATTTGTCTTTCAAAACAGAACATTTATAAATGTAGATGTGTTTATTTAATATTCTGTTTGTGTGTTCTATTTGTAGTTACAGACTACAGTCATACCCATCATTTGTTTTTCGTGTTAAAGTTTGTTTGCCTTCTTGGAAATTCTTTTGTCTGCTTTGGACATATAGGCAGGCTGATATTCTATAGGAGTAGACCGAAAGAAGAAAATTGTTGCAACTGCTAGGATTTGGACCGTATGCATTAGGCAGGCCCTGAATGATTTAAGCTAATGCTGGCATGATTTTTTTTTTAATCATATCAGTTGATTTAATTAATTGCTGCTGATATGATAAATGAACTCTTCACTTTGGCTCATAACTCTTGAACTTTACTATCACTTTCATGAGAACTTTTATTCATGTTAATCAATGCTTTATCCTCTGTTCATCCTTCTTTCCCTTTTTCTCTTTAGGATAGTTTCATTGTGCCTTCTGGTTCATTTCTACTTAACAAGGGCTGTGTAATCTGTTTTTGATTGATTTGCTGGCTGGCTGGTTTAATCTGTCTTTGAAGCTTAAATTGCAGATTAACTTCAACTGTTTTTCTTGTTTTGTGGTGATTTTCCTGAATCTTAATCCATATTGGCTTTGTGTTCAAAATTTCAGTAATATTTAAGATGTTTATGTGTCAATGTTACACATATAGGATTTTCCAGGTTTCTAATTTGGATATTTTGCAGCTTTGTTTAACTTAAATAGTTGTGTCTATGAAAACACACAAAAACAGAATGCCAAAAGTTTCAAGAGAAACAAAGCAAATCAGGGTTTTTTCATGGTATTTGTCCCTGATATTGCTTTCTGTGGAGTTACCTAGGATTTAACAGGCAGGAGGCCAGGGATCTCTGCTGTGACTGGTGCTCACTTTTCATCCATTAATTTTCCATTGATAGACTCAAAGAATGAAGAGGTATACAATCTAATAAGATTTTTCTTGAATAACTAAAGGAGATTCTTCAGGCTTGGGCATTACAATATTGCCTCTGAGAAGATAGAGTTCATAACCTTTTTCTAGTATTTTATTACACAAGGAGTTCATGTGGAAAGGATTGACACATAATTTAAGGATTATTTAAGAATTAGAAAACATGTTCTCATATGTCTGTATGACTGGCATTTTAAAGCCTCTTCTCTACACAGCTTTAGTAGAATCAGGCTGTTCACGATGCTTTAAGCTGCTACAGAGATAGGAATTAAGCAACATGATGCTTATTGCTTTTTAGTGATGAAGGAAGTCTCCATCTTAGTTCATCATACAATTATACTGTTTTTTTCTGTGGTACTAGCTCAGTTTGTGTCTTCTTTTTTTTTACACCAAGCCCAATTTATGCCTTTTTTCGAATATTCTAATTCCCATTTTATTGATGAAAAATATCCACTAAGTTGTTAATTGCATTATCCTTATATCATCAGTGTATGAAGATATACATAATGCAAATTTTGCTAGGGGTGATTCTTTTATTAAATTTGATTGTTTGCTTTGTTATAGACATGATGGAAATCTGCTGGTGTTTGTTAACGAAGAATTGAACATCTATTTCTGATTACTACTAATCTCAATTGTGTTTTTTTGTGTGCTCTAGGAATTGAGGACAAGGGAAGTCCAACTTGGTTCACATACCATGAGTTCTCATGGATATGCAGTTGCGAAAACACACAAGCACGATTGGCTCATTCTCTTGCTCCTCGTGTTGATTGTTATCATTCTGTACATTATCCATCCTTTCCATCGTTTTGTTGGGAAGGATATGATGACTGATCTCAGATACCCCCTTAAGAGTAATACAGTTCCTGTTTGGGCTATTCCTGTAAGTTTACTGCTTCAGATATAACGTGAATTTTTTTCCTTGAACAATTACGTTAACAAGATTATCTTGTCATTCACTATTTTGTCATGGTTAGATTTATGCAGTTTTGTTGCCTATAGTGATCTTTCTTGTTGTCTATATACGAAGGAGAGATGTCTATGATCTTCATCATGCTGTGCTGGGTATTAATTTTTAAATACCCCTCATTTTATTTAATTGCTAGCAAGCATATTCTATTTTCTGAAACGAAACTGTTAGAGAGCATAACAAAAAATTGTTTGCTGGCACAGGTCTATTCTTCTCCATTTTAGTAACAGCAGTATTTACTGAGGCAATTAAAAATGCAGTTGGTCGACCTCGACCAGACTTCTTCTGGCGATGTTTTCCGGATGGAAAGGATGTATGTTTTCCTTTAATTTTAGGTTATCAATTCATGTTTATCAATCACGTTGATTCTTAGTATAGCATGCATACTTAATGACTATTGGCTTCTTGTTAGGTTTACGATAAATGGGGAGATGTCATTTGTCATGGTGACGAAAAGGTCGTAAAGGAAGGATACAAGAGTTTCCCAAGCGGCCATACTTCATGTATGTGGCATTTATTTAATGTGTTGTTTGTACAAAGGTCTACAGAAAAGACTGGTTTTGCCATGCTCGTGACTTTGCTGTAATTTAGTTTCAATAGAAATGAAATGTGGAATTAGTTTAGCTCATTCAAAGCATGTGTACTCAAATTTTATCTTATTAATTTGATTAAAATAATTTCAATTTATATGCAGGGTCATTTTCCTCTCTTGGGTTTTTATCATTGTACCTGTCTGGAAAAATACAAGCATTTGATCGCAGAGGTCATGTTGCAAAACTTTGCATTGTTTTCCTACCACTACTTTTTGCATCACTAGTTGGCATTTCTAGAATTGATGACTACTGGCACCACTGGCAGGACGTGTTTGCTGGAGGTCTTTTAGGTTGGTCCATCCTTAGTATCTCAATTAGTTATAAATTAACTAGGCCTTCTTTTCAACCCTCGAAAGAGAAAACTACTTAGTACTTACCATTGTTGCTGGCACTTGACTCACTTTAATATCTCTTCTTTCAGGGCTTACAGTGGCTACATTTTGCTATTTGCAGTTTTTTCCTCCTCCTTATCATTCTGAAGGTTTGCTTCAATGCAGATTCCAATAGATGCTCTCACTTTCAATATGTTTCTGTTAAAATTATCCTAACTTCATTAGTTTGTTTCTGTTATGAAGTATGCCGTAAACCTTTTGATGTTCTAGATATATTGTTTTTCTCTGCAGGTTGGGGTCCTTATGCATATTTTAGGATGTTGGAAGAATCACGTAGTATGACCCAAGTTCCTAACGTTCAAAATTCTGGTCAAGCGCAGTTATCGGAGGCTCAGGTTGAGAGCCAAGAGGGGCAAGGTTTCCATGGGTGTATGGGGCGGCTATCTTTAGCACGGGATCATAATGCAACATTGAATGACATTGAATCTGGGAGAACATAAAGTCTGTACATCTCATGATCTTTCTATTTGTAAAATGCCAATCAGATGTTAGTTCATATCCTAGCGTTTTATCCCGCATGTAAAACTAACACATTTTGCTGAGTTATTGTTTCTACTCAGTTCAAGTGTCTCTGAAAACTTTGAAGCGTGGTTGTTTGCAGGTCAGATTTGGGACAGTTAGTTATTTCTCTATTTGTGAATATGTCAACATTAGAAAATATGAAATCTATTGAAGAGAAAAAATTATTAGATAATTTAAAATTATCATTTCAATCAATTTTTATACGACATGCATTTAAGTTTTTCAATATACAAAAAGAATTAATAACACTTATTACGTGTCATATAAAAATTAGTTAAGATCATCTAATAATTTCTCTTTGAATAACTTGTGGGTATTGCCATTCATTCAAACACATTTTACATTACAGAGAAAAATCATAGTGACAATTAAATTTTCAAGGGTTTAAAGTAAATATTTTTGGATCAATGGGATTTTGATAAATATAATAACAATTGTTATTACCTTACAGCTTTTATTTATGACAAACTATGCGTATTTGTTTCTATTTGTGTTCTCTAATCGGTAGATGCTACAATTGAAGTGGGGGGAATGATGCTATGTTTCTGTCAAATCAATTTCCAGCAGAGTAACAAACAGTTTTATTGGTAAGTGTCTAGTACAGTCCATAACAATTTGATTCCATTCGGTTCAAAGTAACTTTTTTTCTTCTTTCTTTCCATGCCATTCCATTTAATGCAAATGCTAAAAAGTAAGAATAGATTTTTTAGAGGTTGTACTTCAATGTTTGCGGCCTAGATTTTACGACTTGTAAGACCAGAAAAAATAATGTTAAAAACATAAGCTACTTTTCAGTCTTCAGCAGCTGCAAGGAAGTAAAATTACTGACACATACTGTTGAATATAAGTCTGGTATTCCAATTACCAAACGTTGATTTGAAGCAAGTAGAAAATGCTGACTTTCTCATTCATGGACTATAAATCAAATGAAGCATGTTATAGGGTGCGCCGTCAGACAATTAATTGGTCAATTTTAACGACTCAACAAGAAATGCAAAAAGTAAATAGCAAATACTAGGAAAAAAAAAGTGAAACAGCATGGTAATCATATCTGAATGACAATTGTTTTTTTGGGATCCGAAAAGTGTTTGTTGGATTTTCTAGACTTACGGGTGCGGAAATTGAAATCGTATCCAATGCCTTGGCCGAAGCCGAAGCCAAGACCCACTCCACAACCCATTCCGACACCAAACACGAGGTGCATGTGGTTGAAGGGCCAGCCTCCGAAGCCGAAGCCACCAACCAAACCAAAACCTATTCCAGCGCCGCACCCGATCCCAGCTCCGAACCCAGGACCCAACACTGATGTTTCAGGTTTGGGGGCCTTGTTTCCTAGGAACTTGCTCACTGAGAATTGTTTTTCCTCCTTTTGGTTGCCATTCCATGTCCAGAAAGAATCAACATCAGCTTTCGTTTCCATCCCCTTTCCGATGAATGGATAAGAATAAGATTTTCCAACTCCTAGGTTTCGCTATCTATTTTTGTTTCTATAGCACCCGACCAACACCAACCTAAACCCTATACAACTCTACTACCTAAAATTATTGTTTACCTAGTAACTATTTAGGAGGTAAATTCTATAAACTTTCTACCCACATAAAAATTATATTTTTCCATTTCTATTTTGAGGAATATTACCACATTTTCTCTAATAACACAGTCTTAAAAATATGTCATGGATAGTGTTAGAATATTATAAAATTTGAATCCGTTATTGATTTCCTAGGGATATTGAGTTAATGAATCATCAATTAGTCATTGATTGAATTATTGGTTGAATTGAGTAAATTAATATAATTTTATATTATTATTTTGTTATATATAAACCTGTTATCTTAAATGAAGAAGTGGTTTGAAGTAAGCATTTTATAATTCGACCCGACTTTAATAACACATTGAGATAATTTCCACTCCACCCTCAAAAAAAGCCCATCTATCAAAATAAATGGGCTCAAAACTAAAAATTAAAATAAAATATTTACTGTTTGCTCTTTTTTTAATAATCGGTTTTTTTGTTTGAATCTTATTTTATTTATAAAATTGAGTGAAAGCAAAACAAACAATAAGCAAACAAAAAAAAAAAAAAAGACAAGTTGTTGGATGGCTAAGAAGAGACAATAACAATTACATGGGATATAGTTCATAGGAAGCAACCAAGGTCTTAGAAATCTCAAAAATAAGCCTGGCCTCAAATTCATCACCGGAATACCCCTTAGACACTTGACGAGCCTTTGGAATTCGTTTCACACCAAAGATATTATCACTATTCATAGCACCTACGTTCCCTGCCAACCTCAACATAAAGTTCATATAAGCATTCTTGAGCTTTGTCAACATTTTCAATGGTGATCTCATCACCCATCTAAGCCTTGGAATTGCTCTTATCTTCCAATACTTACGTGGACTTTTCAACCGGATGATCGTCATCTTCCTTCTCCCGGTGGCAGCACCACCGTGGAGACTTCGGTAGCGCCGCCTCCTCAAGTAACTCTTTATGCCACCGTATAGGGTTGGCTTAGGAAATAGTGACTCCATTTTCTTGCTTTCAGTAGCTTGAAATGTGAATAGATTGTGGTTGAACATGGCTTGCCAGTTGAGCAAATATATAAGTGAGAAATTCGTACTCAAAATATTATATTTAATTTCATAAAATAATTGTAAACGGAGAACATTAGAATGCATGTTCATTGTGAACTAATTAAGATTAATAAAATCATAAACCGTGTAACAATATTGATCACGACATAAGATTATTTTACTTTTAATATTATATATAAATATATATAAATGGCTGCTTTTGAAAAATGAAGAAAGTCAACAAATAATGCTTTGAGCAGTGATGATGGAGCGTGTGATGATGTGGGTGAACAAACATGACCATTAACAACACAGTCTTTGCCTTCCTAACTTCCTTCAAATTATTATATCTGTATTATTTATACCATGCAATATTAAATAAGAGTGGTAATAATAATATTTAAAATAACACTGGATAAGTGCAGTTTATGTAAACCAGAAACAAAATAGGTGACTGGTGTGGTGATAGTGAGATGCACAAAAAGAACAGGAGGTAAATGTCAGTGCTTACGTTACTCTAATAATAAACAATTTTTTTTTTCCCAGAATATTCTCTTCGGGTTGATATGTACACTCTGGATGAGTAGTATTCTCATAGGGTTAGGGCCAAACGTGATTTTAGAGCGCTGGTCAAACTTGGTTTTATCTTTGACCAACATGATTGGCATTGACAATTCTTATTTTGCATTCGGATTTATGTTTGTTGCAGCGTATTTCGTTGAAGGCTTGTAGGGTCATTTAATTATTTATTAATTCAATACTCAGAATACTCAATGAAAGCAAATAACATATTAGGATTAGTAATTAAGGGTCATTTAATTATTTATTAATTTAATAAATAACTAGTATTTTAGTTTGTGTAATGTACATATATATTTATTATATATAATTAAGATTTATAATAAATTATATATAAATAAATACTATGTTTGAATATATAAATTATATTTAAAATTATTATATATAAATTATAGTTTAGATTTATGATAAAAACTGAATTAAATAAAAAAAATTTAAAAAAATTCCTACCAACCTTCTCGTTGAATAAAATTAAAATCCCTAAAAATACTCTTATATAAATTTATGTTTAATATATAGGAATTGATTACACTCAATTGCATCAAAGTTAAATCATTGTGTTACTGTTAATTTGGATCATGTAATTACCTTTCTTTTATTTATAAGATTTTTTAATTGATAATTCAAATAAAATATTTAAACTGTTGCAAAATATAAATCAGAATGTAAAATGACATATTAAAATTTGGTAATTAATTATACCGTTAATGATATTTTATTTTTTAAATTATTTTTCTTTATTATCCAAGATTTATAATTACGTACCATTCAATATAAACATAAAAACCCAAAACATATAATTTACTCTTACATTAATTAAAATTAATTTGTAAAACTCTGTAAATTAAAAGTTATGAACGATTTTTGTATATTTTATATATTAATTTATATTTTCAATATCAATAATCTAAACTTAAAGTTTTTTCATTATTTTGTACTTTTGCTAATGCTTGTAAATAAATCAAATATTTACTGATATATGGTTGTTAAACAATATTTATTCATTTTGGTTCTCGTAATTAGAAAATTACATCTAAAATTAGTAATTAATGTCAATTCAATTTCAAATTAAGAACTTATGTTTACTTAAATTCATTAATTGTCCTTAATTGTCTTAATTTCCTAAAAATTAAATCACCAGACTACTTTGAATTCGGATCCAAAATTTTGCTGCAATTTTTCTTATTTTAAATATTTATAATTGATTATCCAAATTAAAAATTTTAATTTATGCATTACCAACTGTCAATCAAAATGCAAATTAATATATTAAAGTTTTTAATTGAATATCTAGTTAAATATCTCTATTTTTTTTTCATTTTAAAGTCATTTATTAAGTTTTTTTTATTTATAAATTTAAATATGTTTTTAATTCTTATAAAATGAGCTACTTTTTATTTTAGTTCCTATAAAAGAAAATTATGTTTTTCATCTTTCAAAAATTTGTAAACATCATTTTGGATTCCTATAAAATGAATAAATTTTGATTTTAGTCTCAATATAAAAAAATTAAAATTGTCACCCCTCTGAATTAAAATCTCTATTGTTTTTTGTTCCTAATGACCACTTAAAGGTGTATATATAACAATTATTTTAAAAATTTACACAAAAATGTAAAAGTGTCACGTACAGATAAAGTATCAAAGATACTTGTAGGCACCACCTAGATGGTCATATAACTTTCTAATGATCAAATAGTAGTATTAAAACAATAGTTTTAAATTTTATAAGGATGAAAAATAAATAATTTTTTTTACAAAAACTAAAATCAAAATATACTCATTTTGCATAGACTAAAAACATGCATGTTTAAACCTAATTTATAAAAGAAATTATAATGAAAATTAAATATAAATATATTCAAATCAGCATTAACTATTTAATAAATTAAAACTAATTTTAAAACATTAAAAGTATGAATGGTTGTTTATTTTATATGTTTATTATCAATAAAAATTAAATACATTTTTTCATACTTTAAAATGAAAAAGACTAAAACAACTAAAATTTAGAATGATCAAAATGAAAATAAAAAAAAAATTAGGAGGACCAAAACAAAATAAATAACTATGAGTTTATTTTATTTTGGTCCTTTTCTCTCAAATTTTGGTTATTTTCATTTTGATCTTCTTAAATTTTGGTTTTCTCAAATTTTGGTCTCTATAAATTTCTAATTTTTCTCCATTAAATTTAACAATAAGAAGAAAAAGGGAAAAATATAGGGGCGAAATTGAAAAAAACTAGAAACAAAATTATCTTATTTTACATGGACAAAAAATATATTTAATCCTTTTATTACGGTACTCAAAATAAATAATTATCCGATCTCAATAGAGATAATTAATAATTAATAAAGGAGATAAATATTTCAAACCAACTTAATTAAAAAATACATATCAAAACCAGCGATTAATAATCACTCAATCAATGGTTAGATACTCATTTAGATTAATTAAAATAATTAATTATACTTAATTACATAAAAGTTAAGTAACCATAATACTCTTCACTTGGACTCAAAAAATTTGTTGCGTACGATCTTTCTCTCTCTTTCTTTTTTCTTTTTCTTAATTCACAACACTCTCTTTTTCTTTTATAAGATTTTTTAAATTAATCATTCAAATAAAAGGATTTCGTTTTTTCTGAAAATTACCTTGCAGAAAAATAATATATTAAATATTTAATTGATTATCCAACCAAATATCTTTCTTTTCTAAATTATTTTAATTAATACTCAAAAATATTAAACAATGTTAAATATACACGGAATTAATTTTTTCTATCAATTCAATTAATGTTGTAAATTAAAATTTTTATTATCATTAAACTAATATTTTAAATATATTTTTGTGTATATTTCAAATATATTTAAAATACCTGTAAATAATTAATTTTATTTCTTATATATATATATTATTAAATACCATTTATACCTTTGAAACTCAAAAGTCAAAAGGTTAACGTAAATTGGCGAAGACGTTAATCAATTGATATGGGTTCTGCAAAAGTGATATGATTGGTTAAGTTGTTTTGTTCTTACTAGTTAGGCTTCAGATTGAATCCACTTTTTTTTTGTGTTTTATATTTTTTCATATAAATTAATTCTATTCAAAATCATCAAAAGGGTTGGTAATTGAAGTTGACGTTACATGAATCGAGCCTTATCCTAATGCAATATTTTTTTTGTTACAAAAAAAAATAAAATCAACTGGTAGAGAGTTATGTTAAATATTCAGATTTAGAAGGGAAAATTTTGGAGTCCATGATAATCTTATTTGACTTGAACATAATTGTATCCAATAAAAATATATTTATATATATATATATATAAACAAAAAAAAAAGTTGGTGTTCAAAATAATTAATTAGTTAATTATATATCAAAATCAACAATTAATAATAATTCAATCACTGATTAATTGTTATTTTTAATTAAACTTAATTATATTAATGGCATAAGGTAAATTATCATATTACCCTTAATTTGAACCCGAAAATTTACTGAAAACTATATTAATCCTTTTTTAAGATTTTTTAATTAATTGTCCAATTAAAAAGTATTAATTAGTTACATATTACCTTATTACTACAAAATAACATATTAAGATTTCAATTAACACATGCAATATGTACGACATGCTTAATATTTTTAATTACAATTATCAAGTAAATAGTTGTTACCAAATTAAATTATATATATAATTTGCAACAAAAAATTAATATATTAATTACAATACATATACTAAAACTTAAAATATTCATTATTTTACCATATTTAAAACTGATATTACTGGTCACAGTTGTCTTAATTAATTGAATTAATAATATATACAGTTTACAATTATATTAATTAAATTAGTCAGTTTATAATTATTCTACTTTATTCAAATTAGCTTTAGTGGAGGATCCTTATGATGCAGAGAAAAAGATATTAATTAAATTATTTATATATTTATATAAGTAAAAGAATAAAAAATCAATTACATTTTTTAGGAAAAATTAATTAAATTAATTTAAGGTGGTTATATATAATTTATAATTATATTAATTATTTTAATAATATAATTAAATTTATATGAGAGTTATAAGTAATTATTTTAATTATCTAATTTTAAATTACGTTAAATAAATTCTTTATATAATTTACAATTGTCCAATTACCCATGTTTAAAATAATTTTCATTAACTTAATTAAAATACATCCGTCATAATTATTTTCATTAATTCAAATAATAATATAAATGAATTGAAATTAACATAACTAATAAAATTATACAATATTATTAATAAAAATAGTATTTTAGCCATATTTAATAAAAAAAAATTATATAAAACAATACATGTAGTTTATATTAATCATATATATAGATTTAATTATTACACTAATTATTTTAATAGCATTGATTACTTTAATTGCATAACTAAAAATTTACTATGCATGCATTTATATTAATTATATATAAATTTTAATTACTAAATTAATTATTTTAATTAAATAACTAAAAATTCTTAGTAATTTTTTTATCCATGGAGATAGTCCACACAATATTTCAAAATTAATGGTCAATAACTAATCTACATTCACGAAACATGACTTTTATTGGTTAAATATTATTTTAATACAGACGATGTGAATAAATTTTATAACCGTTGGATTAAAAGATTGGATTCATTTTTCTAATAAATTTAATAATTATATTAAATTAGATTAAATATAATAATTACCAAAATAATATCTTAATTGAAATATTTATTATTTATGTTAATTATTTTAATTAAATAATTTTAATTAAAGTTAATGAAATTACACACCTTTAATAACTTTTATCAAAATATAAATATGAAATTATAGTATTTGATATTCTTACTAATTATATCTGGTATATAAAAATTCATTTAGTTTCAAGTTTATTTGATAGTTAATCATATTCTTATAATATGATATTAAACTTTTCATATATATATATATATATATATATATAAAAGGAGGGTTCAAGCAACATTGGTATAATTTTTATTAAATATTACATTACTCAATAACTTTATATTAAATGTGAATTTTATAAATCTAACCATTAGATTGAAAGTTCATATCACTTTATATATTTATACCAAATTTTGTTAAAATTGAACAATAACTCGAAGGTAATCAAAGTATTCATGTTTTATTATATTTTAAAATGTATATATTACGTCAATTTTGTTTTGTACAGATTAGGCCATTCGGCCATACCCCTTGACCATTCAGCCACACCCCTTGACCATTCGACCATACTCATTCGATCATACCAAATGTACGGGTTAGTTCATTCGACCACACCCACTCGGCACCACTAAAAGCAAGACTCCCATTGGCACCTTCGACAACCGATGGGAGAGGCCCGCTTGACCATGTCTTCCATCCTGAGAATTCCTAATACCATTCGACACGGTCGACAACCGAATGAGACCACACCTATCAACATACTTTGGCACCTTCGGTGGTCGACAGTCGATCGACGTCCCCAACAGCTGAGACGACTCGGTGAAGGTGATTTGTCAACTGGTTAATCATTCTTAAGTAGTAATTAAGGGCTAATCATATGTGTAAGCTAATTAATGGGGTATTACCTAATTTGGTAATCCTAGTACAGGATCCATTGAAGACTAAGCCCATTAATGTCAGTATAAATAGTTCACATCTCGAGGTAAAGTTATCGTTCATTTATTACTATTGATATTCGTGTTTGTCCTGACTTGAGAGTCGGAGTGCCTTTTGCAGGCACCTCCCCTCACCGGAATATTTGCTCAGAGCTCTCGTTCAGCCTTTAGACTATGTGAAGATTACTAGTGTGCCCTTAGATAGGTACATATTTTATAAGAATGAATTATCAAATCATTTTTGATTAATATAAAATTTTGTATATATAATTTAAGAGTAAATAACTTTCAATATAACAGTTGGATTTATAAAATGAGTTAATCATTTATACACTGCTAGTGTAAAGTTTTTTACACTAGCAACCAATCATATCTTTTAAATTATTTTATTTTATTCTTATTTCATTAAATAAGCATCTGACATGGCACTGTTAAAAGATATGATTGGTTTCCAGTGTAAAAAAACTTTACACTAGCAATGTATAGGTGATTAACTCTTATAAAGTTCACATTTAATATAAAATTATTGAGCGATGTAATTCTTAGTAAAAGTTACACCAATTGAACCCTCCTTTATATATATATATATATATATATATAATTTTATGTTTGAATTTATATCTCTTAGATCATATATATCAAATTTTATATTAATCTAAGATGATTTGATACTTCATTCTCATAAAACAAAATTGACGTAATATATACATTTCAAAATATACTAAAATATGAACACTTTGATTACCTTCAAGTTGTTGTTCAATTTTAACAAAATTTGACATATATAATCTAAGAGATATGAACTTTCCATCTAACGGTTGGATTTACAAAATTCACATTTAATATAAAGTTATTGAGCGGTGTAACACTTAGTAAAAGTTACACCGGTGTCGTTTGAACCCTCCTCTATATATATATATATATATATATATATTACTCTAAAAAGTGTCCAAATTATACAAATTTTGATATACATGATTATGAATACAATATTACATAATTTAACGATTAAATCAATTTAATTTGCATTCTTCAAAAAATTATTGAAAATGTAATTTCACTAAGTTTAACATATGATGTCAACATGTAGGTCATAACTTTTATATATGAATTATATAATATTATATATAACATAATTTGTTGTTAGAGAAGACATGGAAAAGTGTTTTGTATATTATTCTTGCTAACTTAATGAAACGATGTATCAAATAATTTTTAAATTTTTTAAAAATTTGTAAATTTGACTTATGCTTTAAGAACTTTAAATTCAACGGTTGGATTGTTGAAATTTGAGATAGAGCATGAGTTATTGATTGGAATAAGTTTAGATAAACTTACTTCTAAAGTAAATAGATCCCTCCCTCTATATATAAATTTTCATATAAAATAATAATTTTTTCATGTAAATTTAATATATATTATTAATTAAAGTATCTGACATATATTATCATGTCAAAACTCATCAGCAAGTGGAGTGAAATAAAACAAATTTTTGCCATGAGAACCATTTTCAGAAAATAATTAAGATTTAGGTGAAACCATGAACATTATATTGTGGAGTCCATGAGAACCATTTCCAAAGAAAAAGAAAAAATATCTTTAGATGGAACCAAAACTTTCAAAGCCTTAATTATTTTCTGAAAATGAATACAATTAATCATGGCCAAGAGTTGTTCAGATATAAATTAACTTTTTTAAATTCACACTAAAGATATTTCTCTAACCGATAGTTAATGATTAAGTCATTTTTAGATATAAAGATTATTAAAATGAAATTTGTAATGATTTAATAGTCTATATATATATATATATAAATTGGTATAGATAAAATAAATAAATAAATAAATTAGTTTGGAAAAAAAAATGGGGGATGACATGGTGTGCAGTGGATTATAAGTAATCCAAACTTCTAGATGCAGCCCTTTTTTTAATATAAATATGATGTTTGCGTACTACTTTTCCCATGTTTGATTCCATTTCCACGTGCTTGCAATCGGAAAATCCGTGTCCTTGTGTTGCACGCATATTTGTAATTTACCAACCCTCATAGGCTCCTAACCCTAACCATCAATATAAATACACACAAAACTTATTCTACTCAATTCTTGGTTTCGATATTTTAATGTTATATTTTAGTTTTTAACAAAAAATAATAGAAAATATTTTAAATAATAATAAAAAAGGGAATTGAGATTTTTGGTCGTGACAATTTTAATTAAAAGAAAAGTAAGTGAAAATTTCAATGGAAAAAAAAAATCCCGTAATATCAAACTTTGTGTTCCATATATGTGGATAATGGGACTTTCATAATATTTTTTAATTTCATATTAATTCCTTGCCTATATCACGCTATAAAATTATTTATAGTAATTATTTTATACATATTCATTTTTTATGTTCGTTCTTCTTTTATTTCTTTTTAATTTTTTAAAATTATCAACTCTCTTTTTTCATCACCAAAGTATTCTCGTCAAATATTATTTTATTTATATTCATTTATTTTTCTCTATCTTCTATCTTAAACACTTAAAGATAACGTGCAAGTTTATCATACAATAATTAACTTTAATTAGTAATAGTATTGATTATGTCTCCATAGTAGAAGGAGGAATCATTGATGGACAAAGATAAAATATTAGATGGAGGAAATTACGTTGTTCATGTTGACTCTCATGCTCACACCCACCGTTTCTGGTCAAACTGTAGTTTCTTGACTTTTATTTTTCAAAAGCAAAAAATCCCTTTAAATGCTCCAACAACATGCAATTCCATACACAAATTATATCACTTCCACAAATAAACCTTCTCCTCCTCTTTCACAAATTTGAAGCTTTAGGAAAGCATGGAAACGGAGTCACTATTACCTAAGCCAACTTATGGTGGCATAAAGAGGTACTTGAGAAGGAGGCGTTATCAACGTCTTGGTGGTGACAACAATAATGGTGGTGGAAAAAAAACCAAGATTGTAAAGCCAAGAAGAAGCCCACGTAGGCATTTTCGGATGAAATCAGTTCCAAGGTTGACATGGATGGTAATTAGGTCACCTTTGAAGATGTTGGCAAAGCTCAGAAACGCTTACATGAACTTGATGTTGAGGTCGATCAACACAGAGAGCATGTTTGGTGAGAAAAGGATTGCAAAGGCTGATCCTCATCATGTGTCTAAGGGTTATTACAAAAGTGATGCGTTTGAGGCAAGACTCATTTTTGAGATCTCCAAGTCATTGGTTGCGTCTCATGAACTATATTCCATGTAGTATTAATTGTTTTTTCCTTTGACCTTTTTTTTTTTTTTTTTAGATTTCTCAAATTTTCCTTCCTAAATTTCCCGTGTGATTCTGCTGAAAATGTTGAAGAATCACCCACAAATTGTATTTTATTTCTTGACTTCTTGTTAAACTCATAATTAATTGAAATCTCTGTTCATATAGCACTTACATGCTTGTTCTCACTTGTTAAAAACTAAAAATTAGTTGTAATTTTTGAAAATTTTAAAACTTATAACCAAAAACCCCAAACAGATTCTTAATACTTCAGTGTTAGGTGGATGATAAAAATTATTCCAAACTTGATCCAAGGTATTAATGTAAAAAAAATTTCATTGAAATTATAGCCTCGCTCATGTTATTTTTCACTATGCCATCAAAATTAGCTTTACTGCAATGTCAAAGTTTAAATTAATTTTATGTGAATTATCAAAATTATTTTTTCCGTAAAATTTAATTTAATTAAATAACTTAATTTTACATATATGATTAAATTATTTTTTCAAGTAAAATTATTCAACTCATGTTCTAGAACGCTAGCTGTCCTTGGTGATATATATTATGGTGGAACAATTAATTGAGCAGCCGCCTCCCACGGATGACGCCAGCCACACGTGAAACTAAAATTCATTTGCCACTAACTCATATTCATATGTTTAGTTATTCGCTAATTTTATTAATTTATAATTTTATTTTTTTAATTTTAAAATATGAATATTTAAATTTCTAATTTTAAAAGTATAAAATTTTAGTTATATTATTAAGGTATAAGATCCAATCTAAACTTATGTTTTCATAGCCTCAGTTCAACACTTCCTATTAATATAAAATTCTATTTTAGTGGGCAAACTATTCAAGAGAAATGTAAGTGTCACAAGAAAATTTCTATAATGAATATCTTCTGACCGTCAAATCTTTAATATGTCATTGATTTTTTATTCGATATAACATTTTTACTATTTAATTTTATTGTTAACCCATTAATTATATGTTTTAGGTGACATTTAACACATACATATATCATGAGAATAACATCTTTCAACATTTTTTTATCATTAAATTTTATTGTTAAACTATGATATGCCTCCAGTGATATTTATAACATACACATTATAAAAATGTCATCTCTTAACATTTTTTATTATTAAATTTTATTGTTAATCCATGATATGTCTCAGGTGATATTTAACACAAATATATATGCCTTAAGTGACATTTAACTCACATGCACGAATATGTGTGCGCATGCATATATAACGAGAATGTCATCTCTAGACATTTTTAATTATTAAATTTTATTATTAATCTGTGATATGTCTTAGGTGATATTTATATAACACACATGATATGCCTTAGGTGATATTTATATAACACACATGATATGCTACTCATGTTAATTATCATATTGGACCAAGTTAAAATCAATAAAGTATCTAACAAAAAATTAGATGTAAACACACACAAACAAAAAAAACCTAATCATGTTATCACATTAGACAACTTAAAATCAATAAAGGACCCATAAAAAATAGATGTAAACACACACACATATTAATCATGTTATAATATTGGATAACTTAAAAATAATAAAGGACCCACAAAAAATACATGTAAATTTGGCTAAAATCAATAATTTGATGAAAAAAATTAGTTTGAATTAATTTTTTGAAATTATTTTTAATCTATTTATTTTCTATAAAAAAAAAAAGAGAAAAAAAAGAGAACATAGTTACTCACTTATAAAGTTTATAATGATCATTGAATTAATTTTTTGAAATTATTTTTTACCTGTTTATTTTTTATAAAAAAAAATGAGAATATAATTGCTCACATGTAAAGTTTATATATGATTATTACATCTATAAATCAAATGATACAAAATTATTTCAACTTAATTAATGATTTTGAACTCAATTTTGAGTCACAAGTATGAAATTATGATAAATATTTGAAAGAAGTTTTGTTGCAAAAAATAATTTTTACTCGACTCGAATAGGATCAATTCCATAAAGTTACATGTAGTCTAATAAAAAATAAATAAATAAAAGAGTCTATATATGAATTCTTATTATTTAACTTTTAATTAATGATTTATATTTTGTAAAACATTTAATGTGATTCTTTTATGTTAATTTTTATTTAACTTCAATTCTTGTGTTTTTATTTTACTTTATTACTTAATGTATTTATATAAATTAAAAATATTTTTTATTTAATAATTATTTGACCACAATTAAACTTGTGAATATGGAATAATGTCTTCATCGTATTAATAATTATTTTAATTTTCAAAGTATTTGTCATTAACAATCATTGTGGGTTGACAAAAGTGGTCAAGGATTCAAAAGTTCCTAACATTCTCTTCATGGATGTGGATTTGATTCGATCTTTTAGGCTACTAAAATCTTGGTTCATACCATTCTTAGGAAGATCTTTTGTTACTCAAGGACTAGATAAGTACTAGTATATGCAACTATGTAAAATGACTTGTGATTTAGGCTTGTGCACTAATCTCATATGAAGGCCTTTATTGAAAATTCCAACACGTAATTGACGTTATACCCAATAGTATTGGGAGTATCTGTCTCTGTTCAATTACTCTTCACAAAATTTCCATTAATATTTTACCATATAATGAATGAAAAAATCAAGATAACGATATTTACTATGTATTTTCAATGTACTTTTTTAAATCTCAAGTCTTATTGAAATTTTGATTCTTTCTTCTTTATATATAGCTTTTTTAAAGACATTTTTTTTTTTTTATAAGAGACAATCTTGTTTAAGTTAGAAAGAACTATATAGTATGGTGAAACTATCTTTATAAAAGAACATTTTTTTCATATACAAGATTTAAATTCATAATTTTGTTAAAGAAAAATTAATATGTACTACTTGAGCCAACTAGCGATTAATTCATTAAATACAGTTAATATTTTTTCAAAAGTAATTAATAAAAGGATTGAAAAAAAATTAGTAAAGGAATAAGAAACATAGGTTCATACTTATTTAAAGAATCGTCTCTCGGTAAATTAAGCATGAAGCAATTTCAATTTACCAATGGAATTCAATAGTAATTCCATTTCATCAAATTTGCTGCCAAATTCCATGTCAGCGCCCTCTTATTCAAAGTCTCAGTACTATCAAGAAGATAGAGAGGTGAAGTGATTTCTTTGAAACTTCAATTACATGTTTTGATAAGCTACACTTATTTTCTCAAATTTTTTTATTTATTTATCTTGACAAATTAAGCAGGGACACATTTTCGATTCAATGGATTTCAATAGTAGTTCAATTTCACCAAATTTGTTGTCAAATTCCATATCAACACCCTTTTATTCGAAGCCTCAGAGTTGTCAAGAAGATAGAGAGGTGAAGTGATTTCGTTGAAACTTCAATTGCATGTTTTAATCACTCATACTTATTTTCTAAAAAAATCATTTATCTTGAAAAATTAAGCAGGGAAACATTTTCAATTTACCAATGGATTTCAATAGTAATTCAATTTCACCAATTTTGCAACCAAATTCCATGTCGACCCTTTATTCAAAGCCTCAATATTGCCAAGAAGATATAGAGGTGAAGCAAATTCATTGAAACTTTGGTTACATGTTTTAACCACTTATTATTTTTCCAAGATATTTTTTTTCATTCATCTTGACAAATTAAGCAGGGAAGCATTTTCAATTTACCGATGGATTTCAATAGTAATTCAGTTTCATCAAATCTGCTGTCGAATTCCATGTCAACACCCTCTCATTTGAAGCCTCAGAATTATCAAGAAGATAGAGAGGTGAAGTGATTTCATTGAGACTTTGGTTATATGTTTTAATCACCCAGACTTATTATCTCAAAAATCTTTTTTATTTTTCTTGACAAATTAAGCAGGTTAGCACTTTCAATTTACCAATGGATTTCAATAGTAATCCAATTTCACCAAATTTGTTGCCAAATTCCATGTCAGCGTCCTCTTATTCAAAGCCTATATATTGTCAAGAAGATCAAGAGGTGAAGTAATTCCATTGAAACTTTGATTACGATTATAATCACTCACACTTATTTTTTTAAAAATATATTTTTCTCTTTATCTTAACAAATTAAACAGGCAAGAAATTTTGATTTACCAATAGAGTTCAATAGTAATTCAATTTCACCAAATTTGTCGTCAAATTCCATGCTGACACCCTTTTATTCAACGTCGCAATTTTCTCAAGAAAGAGAGGTGAGGTGATTTAATTTAAACTTCAATTACATGTTTTAATCATCCTCACTTATTTTCTAAAAATAATATTTTTATTTACCGTGACAAATTAAGCAGGAAAGCAATTTCAATCTTCCATTGAATTTCAACAATAATTCAATTTCACCAAATCTACTGCCAAATTGCATGCCAGTACCCTCTTATCCAAAGTCTCAATATCATCAAGAAGATAAAGAGGTGAATTCCATTTAAAGTCCAATTGCATATTGTAATTGTTCGCACTTATTTTTTCAAAAAATAATTTTTCATTTATCTTGACAAATTATGCAGACAAACAATTTCAATGTTCCAATGAATTTCAATAGTAATTCAATTTCACTAAATCCGACACCAAATTCTTTGTCAGCACCCTCCTATCTAATGCCTCAATATTCTCAAGAGCATAAAGAGGTAAATTTATTCCTATTAAACTCTAATAGTGCATTTTTATTATCCACACTTGTATTGTAAAAAAAAAAATTACTTCCATATTGTTCATTTTAATTATCCACACTTTTTTTATTTTTTATTTTATTTTAAGACCATTTTCAAAGTCAAATATGAGAACAAAGTATTATATACTATTCAATTCTTTGTTTTTTGGCAAATTAAATTTAACTTGAGTTAGAATGAACTTAACTTTATCTAATATTATTTAAGTGGAAGAGAGACATCAAATAGAAAATAGGAGTGAAAATAGAGTGGGGGAGGGAAATGAGAAAATGGAGAAATATGTAATGAATTTAAAGAAATCAAATAAAGAGAATTATTAGAAAGTAAATTATGGACATAACTTAATTCTACAAAATCGACTTTATATACACTATTTTATGACCTTATTTATAAATGATGTAGAACTTGAGTTTTTCTTAATTTACCTTCTCATGTCCATTTTAGAGTGGATCAGGATAACTTTGATATCATTTTAAAAAGTAATTTATAAGTCTAATTTAATCTTTAAAAATCAATTTATAAGATGGGAATTTCTCCTCACTTATATATATTAATAGGACCTTATTTCTAGACAATATAAGACTTGAGTTTTTTTTTCTAATAGAAATATATTGAGTATGCAAAAATTAATTAATGACAACATTTTTCATTCCAAATTATGACATTATTTTTTGTTTTATGCTTGATAACTATAGGTGTTCATGGCCTTACCTATAGACATAGTATAACTCAAGCTACTCAGGCATTAGAGATGTTGAGTACAAGAAGAACAAGTGAAAAAAAAAAAAAA